TACGAGGTAGAAATTGAAAATAAGAATCGTACCTTGTTAGTGAAAATGAAGTGGTTTCATGATCAAAGTATCAGCGAACGCTTGCAAGCACTGAACGCTTTTTTCATTGCTTAGCTGAGGCGATGCTCTGGATGTTGCCCGTCCGTCCATTCAGATGGGCGATGTATGACGGATAATCAGATTTTTCTCTTCACTAGTGTAGAATTTTCTCCCAAAGCGGCAGTTTTCAAGATTGTCGCCTTGACTTTTCTCTGGCGATTCATAGTCGAATTAGTAAGCTATAGCAGATTCGGCATCCCATTTCTTTGGTCGTTCTAGGCAATTCCGATGACGTGTTTTGATTTTTCAGCTGCCTACCTTTCTGGCTAAACTCTAACATTTTTTCTCTTTAGGAGATTTATCGCGTGTTTACTTTCCCCGCGATGTATGACGAATCGAATCCCAGCCGAAAACCGGTTTTTTGTTCGCTTGTCGCCTGAAACATTTGTCTCAGCCTTTGCAAGGAAAGGTGAGCAAAGTTTCAGGTGTGTTTACGAACAACGTTTTCGTCCGCCGTTATCATCGCAGTCTTCGACGCCCGTCTGTCTAGAAAATTATGTACCGTCTTTTTATTTGTAACATGCACGTTTGTGAAATGCATTATACATCTGAAATGCGTTTTTGATAAATATCGACTTGCTTACTAAGCGACTGTGTGGATGTTATTGAGAATTAATGCTATGTCGATGTCCGTAAGTCTGTGAAGATGATCATGACTTATCTTTTTGTTTTTCTATATCAAGTATAGTTAGGTTGATTTGTGTGGAAGGGGTCGGCTTTATCGGGCAAAAGCACGTGCTCTGCCCGACTCGACTGTTGTAACGTTTATAAAGTTTCAAGAGAACAATTTTCAGTTTCGCTGCCCAAAAATGTTCTTTTCTGAGAACATTCTTTGTTTCCGCTACATACGAAGCTGAGAATTTCGTTTTTCAGGAGTGTTAACTACGAACTTCTAGTACCATGGTGTAGAGACGATTTGCAAGATTCAGTTATTCGATTTTACTTTTACTTGACAAATTAGATTTTACTTATGACAAGTTAGGCATGAATTAGTCGTGATAGCGATCTGCTTCTTTGAGAAGAACCGTTTTGAAGAGTTATAAGCTTTGAAAGAAATTGTACAGTTCGTGTCAAACTTGAAGGATCAATTTGCGTAAGATTGACAACGGATTAACTTTACCTTACCGATGTGCCATTTTAAGCTGGTTTGTAAAATGGGTAATGTATATGAAGATCTAATGTGTTACCGTTTAACGATAATCAGCTACGGGTTTTACCTAGCTGGAATGTATTACAGTTCTGCTCTTATTTGGTTTCCATGCAATTAGCATTTGCTTAAACCATTGTTTATGAACGCACTAAACATGGAGCACTCCCATTTAGTCGTTCATTAAGTTGTGATGTTAACCCTACATCACTTATTGTTTATTGCTTTCGACGGGAGAGTTTCAGGAGATAACAGTTTTATCATAACTTTTTTAACTTTGTTATTTGCATGTCATGCATGAGCGATTTTTCTGTTTGGCGGTTTTCTTGATATTACGGTTGATTACTGCTGACGAGCCAGAACAAGATTGAAAGTGTCCATGATTTTTGAAGTTTGGAAAAGTATTTGTCACCATAGGTTGCATAAACGGTAAAGGAGTAACAGCATTCCATATTTTGAGTTATAGTTTCTTCAGTTGTCTGTGTAATCGAACCATGGAGTGTCAACTGTTGAGGGGGGACGAAATACTGATATCACATGATAAGCGGAAGCGCTATGATCTATATAAAATCTGTCATGACCTTAAGAACGAATGAGGAATTAACTGCTTATAATCGGAGAGAATTAAGTTGCTTGTATTGCTGTTCTTTAAGGAAGGACGCTGAAATTGCAAATACATGGGGAATTTGTGGGTTACTGGTCAAAGAAATCTAGTCTCTGAATGCAGGTGATCTTCCATCATCAAGTAGACAATAACTGTGGTCGGTTTTTAAATGTGCTATATAGAAAATACGATGCTTTTCACTTTTACGGGATTAAGCGGCCCCCTTGCTGTTAGTTGCGTAGAGGACCGTTTAAGCAGGCCACGGCTCCATGGTATTTGAGCACCTGGATGCAGAACCGCATCATTAGGCGAGGCCTGTTCCGACATGCAAACATGCAGGCATATTTATGCATAAAAATAAAACCCGATCTTATAGGTTTACGAACGTGCTGCTAGCTGTCGATCTGGCCGCCGCTAAGATAAATGATCATTTTCACTTTTGATATCGGATTATCTTGTGATGCGATTTTGCATTAATGCATTGCAGGTGCTCAAACACCATGGAGCCGTGGCCTGTTTAAATGGTCCTAAAGGGGAGACGGTGCGTAACCTGCTTCAATCCGGTATCAGAAATGAATTATTTATTTTAACAGCGGAATTGATAACTAGTAGCATAATAGGTAATCCATAAGTTTTATTTTTATGCGTGAACGAACAAAAATGGGCGTTATTTTTAATGTGTGAATGGTGGAGATCTAGGAAATGTAATTATGTTGTGCACTTGTGCGGCCATGGCACCTAAACTGGAGGAGAGTATCCTTAGCAGCGAATAACTGTTTCTGCCTACTGGTCCATCATCACAAATGTACGTTGAGTTGAATAAAAGACATAGTTATGAACAGCCATGTTGCCGGTTCTATTTAAGAATCAACAGATCTTTTTGGTGCTTGTGCTGCGTTCGGTTTGGAACCGCACAATGCTGTAGAGCAGTTCTTAAGTTGCATGACCACCATAGGCTGTAATGGTTTCTACGTTAAATCGTCATGTATCTGCACACATACAGAAATTAAATAAAGGCCTAGTAGGAGAAGAATAGAAATTGCAACTCCGATATTTTCCCAGTGTCAATTTTCCATACAAGCCAAAGTTTAAATCTCCTAGTTTTTTCATTGCGGATAGTTTTGAGCATAACAACAGAAGTTTTCTGTGCCGGAAGCCGAAATGTCCCAAACTCCTGGTAAAGGAGCATGCTCAAACCGTTTGCATTGAAAAAGTGAGGATGGATTTACCCCGATATCATGGATTTGCTAGCAAACTAGCTAGTTTTCGATACTCGCCGGCAAGACTATCGATCCTCTGTCCCTCGCTGTACTCGCACGGCGTCGTCGCACTGCACCCTTACTTCTATTAGCGTGAGATCTTTGAGGAGACCAAGGTTACATGGTATTCGAACATGTGTTGTATCGGCGCGAAACTATGTGAGAAGAAAAATAATCAAATTCTATATTCCATAGGATCATACAGGCCGGAGGAATTGGAAAGCTGCCCAGAACATCGAGGTTTTTTATTTTACTTTGTGCAGAAATAGAATACAAACAGAATTTGCTAACGGCACAACAGCATCTACATATACGGTAACAAAAAAGGAACTCAACTCCATGGAAAACTGTAACTGCAAGTTTTGTACAACGATAGGCTTTTGTTCTCTTGGGTCCCTCAGGGTCGTAGACCAGCAACGTAAACCTCAGCACTCTCTTAAACAGCATTTTCCTTTGTTATGGTATTCGAAAACCTGGAGACTGACTGTTGTTTTTTGATTTTCACGCACGAGGATTGGCTCTTATCCGTCAAGTGCGAACTATGAAGTCGTCAACTGCGCAGACGATAGGCATCAGATGACTGCATGCGGTAACGTTTTCCGCCAAGTACCAAGTTGAACTTATTGATGAACAGTGAATTCACTTAATCAAACAACTTTAAACGGTCTTTAGGTGAACTGTCAGACACCTTACAGCGTAAGCCCTTGAAGTCAGTCGGTTTCGTTTCTCATCAATTGTTCTTTGTTTTCAACTACAGACTACATGTTTTCACTTAGTACATTTCATGATAAATCATTTCAAAGCTTTTACTACCGTGGATATGCTCCTGTCGTATTCGATGCTCCGTTCAATTCACGCAATGGCAGCAATAACTTAGACAAATCTGCGACGTCTGTCTCAACTGCAGTTGATGCCATATCATCACTGCGTCAAGATCGTAGCAAGGTTGCCTAACTGTACAATTAAAAGATAACAAATAAAAACAAGATCAAACGTTCCGCATGAATACAAACAGCGATAGACCGGCAGCCGCCAGCACTACATGAAAAAATGAGCTGTTTTCGAAGACGAATGAAATTGGCAATCATAGAGTGATTTTCTCATTTTGCCTTGTTGAGCTTTGTTGTAACTGTTTCTAATTAAAATCGCCAGCGAACCTGTTTTCATGAATCTTCCTGCCATCCACGAAGTTAATAATGTCTATGCAGCAAATATTTGCATCTTGCACACTTTATGCGGTGGGGGTCTTGTTTTGAACACATGAGATAAACAGCAAATATTCTTGTCTAGTGGATCAGGTTCTAAGATCCATTCTGACGTCCTTGTGACTCGCTGTTATGAAACCATTGCTTTGGTAGTAGACGACTTTCAGTTTCAAGCCATGCAGTGGATACCAGCGATCCAGGTCTTGTGCAAGCATGCAGTTGTCCTCTGTTACTGGCGATTAATTTAATGCTCATTTCGCCTGAGTTGAGGACCGTAGTTCTCGGTGAATCTTTATGTCCTCGGTAGCTGAGTAAGGCACTTCACTCAACCGTGCATTATTCCTTAGTAATGACTAGTTTGATCATTTCCCAGCTTCTAGCTCTGATATGAGATTCACGCTGCAGATTATGCTTCTGTATATGGAAATTCGTTTACTGCATGGAAAACGTAAAAGATATTCACTTACGGTGAAAAATAGGTTCACCGTTAGGAAGAAGATTAAATGGGCTGTATAACTGTATTATTTGAATCCATGATGATGGACCATTCAGATGATCGATTATGCTAAAATGCGATTATGTGCAGGAAAACTGATGGAGTTGAAAGTGTTTCAATCGAACCAGCGCTATGCGAGTTCACCAAACAGTGTGTTTGCTTTTATTCATCAACACAACCTAACGAATTGTATGGCTTAGTTTTTTAACGGTATGAGTCTCACCTCTCTGAGAGTTGAGGTGGTGCCATTTGTCAGTCGGTTGATTTGTCTTTATGGTTGACCGGAATTGTTGAGTTGATTAAACATAGGACTCAGGACAGAGTAGTTCCGGGTTCGAGCTTCGGTCGGGTCACTCGCTCTTTCGTCTTTACAAGATCGATTAATACGTACCGTTCAGTGGGAAGAACAAAAGACTGTACTATGCTCGCAACATAACCCGCTGCCGACTCCACCTTTAAAATATGGCCCTCTTGGCTTATGGCATTGAAATGAGAAGCAGCGTCCCATAATTAGCTTAATTAAAATAGGCACCAGAAATGGTTCCGTTATGAAAGTTCAAGGATAAACGACATTTCGACTGTTGCAAACTTTCGTTTCCATGCGATAAATTTAACGCTTTTGTGTGATATGTGTCAGAAACCAAAAATTACAATATTACCTTAAGTAAA